AATATTTTACAATGAGGGTGGTAAAACACTGGAACAGGTTGCCCAGGGAGGTGGTAGATGCCCCATCCCTGGAAACATTCAGGGTCAAGTTGGATGGGGCTCTGAGCAACTTGATCTAGTTGAAGATGTCCTTGCTCATTGCAGAGGGATCAGACTAAGTGACCTTTAAAGGTCCCTTCCAACCCAACTTGTTCTGTGATTCTATGATTCTATGACTGGAGGATTGGCAGAGGGGAGGCAGATGAGCCAGGTGCCATGGCTCAGAACAGAGCAGCAGAGGCTGAACACCGAGAGGTCTCTGTCAGTTTACTCTTAAGTAAACCTTTCTTATCAGAAGGTATCAACAGGAAAGAAGCTTTGTACGGATGGACTTGTTAGCTGATTATCAAGGAAATTTAAAAAGGACAGGCGTTTGCTTTCATAAAAATGCTGAGATAAACACCTTTGAGACAACTTTCACATAGTAAAAGTAAATGGGTTCCTTACTTTACTCTAACTCAGACTGGATAACAGAGTCATGAATATTAATAGAACTGCCACAGAAGTTTACAGGCAGCACTTATCCAGACAGGGAGCTTACACTTTTAAAGGGAGCAGTTAATTAAGGCACTTTTTTCCTGTAAATGCTCTAATTTCCTAGAAGACTGCCTTTAGTACACATGACTTTACCTGGAAGGCTACTGAAAATATGTACATTTACAAAATTTGTCCTTCTTTACAGCACCAGAATTCAAGAATTTGCTTTGAATAAATAGAAAAATAATCTAATTTAGCATCATTTACAGATCACATTGTCATGTGCTCTTAAACTCATATTGCATTATTAGTTATTTACTGTGCTCTCCATAACCTACCAAGGTTCTGCAATCCTCCTTCATTTTTAACTCATTTGGGAGAAATACACACACATGAAATTACATGGCTGAAACAGTATCTATATAGATACAGTTGACTTTTGGCTTCTAATATTAGACCAAACCTCCTTAACACTAAAAGTAACTGTGGCGCTTTCAAAATTTTCCTCTGTCTCTCCTTTGAACATACTTATTTCTTAATGTGCTGTTAACTGTAAGAAAAGGTCTGTATGTCACATACACTTTTGAGTCCAAACATCAACAAAGGTGCACTAGAGAAAATGAGTAAAATTTACTAATTCTTCTTCATGTCTTATACATCTGAAATCCTTACAGGCTTCTTACATTGTCACAACTATGTTCATTTATTTACTTTGGTTTAGGCTTGAGGTTTCCAAACACAAAAATAATTGCTATTTTGTTGTGAATGGAATTTTCTCCTAACCTTTTGTATTTCTTATTTATCTCCTTCAAAAAAGAGAAAAGTAAGGAACTGAATTCCTCAAATTTTCAACTGCTGTGAGTCACAGCCTCCAAGAGAACCTGACAAGTGCCGTGAGAACTGAGGCCAAATGCATATGGAATAAAAAATTCATATGCGGCATTATATTTCCCCTTTCTGAGACACAATGGACTTAAGACTCCATACTTAAATAATTCCTAATGACATGAACTGTTTTTAATCTGCCAGGAAAAAAAAAGGCAGTTAATTGCACCTGTAAGAAAAGAGAACATGATTACAGGTAGGTTGCATACTCTGCCATTATCTGCATTCATTTCCAGAGCCAGCTTTCTGAACTGAGATTCAATTGTATTTCTCACAAAACCAAAATGTAATTCAGGAAAATAACTTATCACACAGGAATTGCAAATTGATTTGACCTACACTGGCCTTAAAAATATTATTGCTATTAATGTGCATACTTCTTTTCGTTAATAAAATCCCACTGAAACCAATAGGATTCTGCACAGAACAACACGTCCTGCATGGGTGGACTCCAAGACATACAGCATTAAAACAGATATCTTCAACAGATGGAACCTAAGAACCTGCCTTTTAAAAAATTATTTGTAATTTAAGCCATCTCTCTTGACATCTCTTACAGCATGATTTTCAAGAAAAAGATTTTCAGCACTTTGTGAAAATTAACAGTTTCCTAGTAACCTCAGAATGATCAAATAAGTCAATATTTTGATAATTACAATCAAAAACAAAGGCTACATGATTCCACTTTGACATACAATAAATTAATCCAAGCCCTCTTTTTAACACGAAGACATAGTGCTGCACTATAACTTTATTATGAGAATAGGTCTGCAATTTCTTGCATTTGGGAAGATTCTGTTTTCATGTCTTTTTTCTTCACATTTTCTACAGATAAATATTTTTAAATGAAAATATTTGATATAACAAGCTCGTGTGGAAGAAGAAATGATATTTTAGAGAAGATATTAATATATTATACAAAGACGTAAAGACTGTTTCTTTCATAGTTAGCTCTGGTAATAAACTAACACATGCAGTATCTCAATCTCATTTAATTTCTACTTTAAGATTAATTATTTTCCTGCCAGTATGCTACATTCTGGGCAGTAGCCCAGCTGTGGGCGAGTGATGGTAATTGGCTGAGAGTAATTTTTAAATTAAAATACAATTGTAGTGTGTTTTCAAAGACTTGTAAAATTAGGTCAATGCCAAAGAAAGTGGTTTGCTTTGTTAATAACTTTGATAAAGGAGTATTACAGAGAAAGCCTACTTCTTGCTGCCTTGAGAGATTCCTAATGCCTGCCACAGTCATTAGTTTTAGGAAGCGCAGTTTTAAGTTTGTTCAGGGGGAGTCCCTGAAAAATGAAGCTCTACACAGCACCATAATACATGACAAGTACAAAATGTATTTGCATATCTGTAATAACATAAATTCTACAAATTATGTTTTCTAGTAAGTAACAGAATAACTGTGAAAATCTGCAGAACCTCTTTGGAGTGTATCTGAGGTGGAATTTATCCTTTACTATCCTCAAATTATTTCAATTTACTTCAGATTTATTTTGCATTATTAACTGTTATCTGTTTGATTCTTCTGACAACTACTGTTTACTGCTGTTATGTGATCCTATTTGCAAAGAGCTGAATTCAGTTCTCCCCTTATCTGCCCTCTCTTTATATTCATAGAAAGGTACTAGAAAAAAATCCTGAGGCCACAAGGCAAACGCTAATTTCTGGGACTGGGAAGATGCTAATTTAACAAGAACCCTATTGAAAAGTTTTCTGAAAAATTAATTTTCTTGTGAATTCTGTAGCATTAGTCAACTCTGGCAACACAAAGCCACCTTAGGTAGATCTAGTGCAATGCTCTGACTCTGTTGCATAGAGGAGCTGCAGGCAATTTTCTTACAGGCTTGCACCTTTGGCTTATGACTGAAAGAAGCAATGAGATAGCAAGGTTGTGGGTTTCCCTTCCTTCACCCTTCACCAGCTGGAGCATCTTTTACAGGTCTTATATTTAAATCTCAAAAGCTCTCACATGAATACGTTTACTGTTCAACAAAGACACCTCTGTGCATTATGAAGAAACATACCCCAAGTTTAATTCTGTATTACTAGCATGCAAAAACTAGACAGATTATATAAAATTTCTTTTACTGACTGAGGTATGTAATTCATTGCCCAATCCAGTGATCAGCTGTGACTAGAAAGTTAGTGTCTCCTAATGTAGAATAAAGGATATTAATAGAAACTTTCTCAGTCTGATCTCAAGTTCAGACCTGCTAAGTACATACTTATTTCTTAAAATTTCCTTGGTAATGTAATACACATTACGGCTGAACAACTCAATGTCTCTCAAAACCATAGTAAATTACTTCCTGATCTTTAACATATTAAGACACTATACTGAAGTACCCCTCTGAGAAAAGCAAATAACACTTTCAAGGAAAGGGGAAAAAAAATTTCTAATAATTGGTAAAACAAGCACTTCTCCTTCAGTGACTGATTTCCTCATGTGGAATGGCTAATCACTCAGGTTTGGTATAAATGACTCCTTTGTAGCTTTAGACAACTATTTGCTGGACATTGTCAAATGTCAACATTTTAAAGAAAGATGAACATTTTTCTCCTGTAGGATGAGGAAACTGTTACCATTTTCAAACTCTACCTTGAAGGTACTCAGCTCTGCTGAGGGTCTCAGGTTGAAATTGTTTTATTTAGCAATGCATTTGAAATTAAACTGTCGCTACTGTGGAAAGGAAGGAAGCATCTATTGGACACCTTCATCCCTGTGGCCTTCAGCTCCCAAGAGTTTTAATCCATATTACAAGTGAACACGCATCTACATTTCTGAAAAGCTGTAAATAGAGACTTTCAAAGTTTGAGTGTTTGAAAAGGTAAGATAGCATGTACAAGTTTTGCTACCTAAATAAGTGACCTGGTCTTCAGATGAGCTGAATATTTAGAGTCCAGATTAGAATGAACAAAAGGCTAGTCAGAGATAATACATTTTCTTTAAAAATAAGATCACTATTTGGTGTACAGAGGCACGGAATTTTGGTTATAATTTTATGAGGTTTTTTGTAATACTTTACTACCTATTATCTTCATATTTCCCTGTCTAAGCACATAACAGTTATTGCAATATGGAATTTATTAATAAAGCCCCAAGAAAAAGGTAAACAAGATATTTTCTAATATAGTTCATATTAGAACTATATTAGTTTCCATAATAAATAATTTTCCACATGGTGTATATCAGAAATAAGAGATCTAAACTAGGCACACCGTTAGCTCTGAATCTGAGAATAACTATCACACAACCATCAATAAAGTGTCCTCTGCTTCACTGAGATTTTGTCACTGTAAATAACCACACTTCCTGGAGCAAACAGAAGATTTAAATTGCAAGGTAGGTTTTGATGAGTTTTGAGGCTTTTTTTTTTTTTTTTCTATGATCAACTCCAAATCTGACTTCAATAAAATTTTAATAAACGTAACAACACTTTCATTTCAAAATCAGCAATTCTTGCACAGGAATTACATGACATATAATGATGTTTTTAACAGTGGGATGATTAAACAAGTCAGACTGCAATGACATGTTCATTCATATAATACATAATTCCCGAAAGGAAAGGAAAGATTTCTACACTGACCATAGTCTGTGTTTTCCGGCTCCCAACAATTTGATGGCCAAAAATAGGGTGTCTATAGACAAAACAAAAAAAGTAGGGAACTCAAGTTAGACAATGCAAGCATTATACAGTCCTTGGATTGATACTGGTTTTCAGAGTCAATTCACATTTTTGGTAGATCTATTATATTGTATATAGAATCAAACCAGGAAATTACTTTTGTGTGCTTGTTTATTGCACTGGTGTCAGAATAGCATTGAAAAAGAAGAACAAAGTCTTCTTTTTATGCTTAAAGTTAAGTGAACAAAAACCACAAGGTTAGGTAATAAGGTTGTCTTTTTCATCTTCCCTAGCAGCATACCTCTCACATGTCCTGAAGAATCAGTTTTAGAAGGTGAAAAGAGAGAAAATACTTTGGGGTGCATTCAGTTCTTGATTCTGGAGAGTGACTAGTATATTTCATTAGTATATAATTCATTAGTATATATTTCATTAGTATATATTAATATTCAATACTCTTTTCCTAGGAGTTATTTGTTTAAAAATGTCACTAAACACAACCTGTTTTCACAAAGTTATCAGAGCTCTTTTAAATTGTGGAAATCTATTTATTTTCTAATAATTTACCAATTGTGATTTAAAATGTAATTTTTTTAATGGAAAGCCAATAAAAGTATCAATAACTAGGTCAATGCTATGTTTATTAAAACTGTGCTGAGTGTATTGTTAAAACAATTCACTTCTACCAAATAAAGAATATAAGACCACAGAGGCATTTTTCATACAAATAACAATTTTTAAAATGGTAATTTTTTGTTAAAATGCAAATTATTATAGTATTTTATATATAACACATTCATATATATACATACACACATATAAAGAGAATTATATATTATTTGAATATATATTGAGTTGAATCAACCTCACTAAATATGTGTACTGGTCTGAGTGGTATTTCAAAACACAAGGGCTTCCTTAGGAAAAACTGCTCTACTCTCTGTTTCTTATTGGTTTTTCTCAAAGATCTTCCAGCTGCAAAAAGGGAAACCTCTCTTGCTGCCCACTTCCCTCAAAATTGTTTTAATGTTAATCTGGACACCAACAGGGTTGAAGGGTGACAGATTCACACCTACTTTCAGCTTAAATATATATTGTGAACAATCTCTATTGTAACAATGACCCATCAACTGTAATAGGAGCAATTTAGAACATGTTATTTATCAATCAACAGCAATGAGTTAAAGAGTAAAAAAGGAACTATCACAGGCTAACTTCAAAGTCTGAGACGAGTTTCTTGTAAGCTGTTTTGTGCTCTGTAATGGAGCAGCAGTAAGTCATTCTCTTATCAACTATTCCTTCCCAGTGCCCCTGAAATTGGTGGCCAGTATTAGCACAAATGAAAGGAAGAGGAACCCCTAAACAATGAATGGCAGCACCCAGTGAATCCTGGAGAAGCAAAAAGCTATAAAAGTAATTCAACAACATCAATCATATAAAGCATAGAGTCACCATCATTTAAATATACAGTTTTCAAATCTGGGGAGGGCGAACAGTACTTCCTCAGAGAAATGAAGTGTAGCTCAGGAGAGGCCCTAGAGGAAAAGCACAACTACATCATTTTCCTGCTAACAGAAACGTTCATCTCTATTTGGGGTTTCAAGCTGAAGTTCTGGAAAAAGGATGCAGTGAGGGTTACTAAATACAGAGAAACCATGTATGCCCAGGCAGCTGAAACTGGCTGGGGGTCAGATTTTATTTAGGGAGGAGTAGTAGTTAAGTCTGCTGATTTTCAGCCAGTCCCATGAGGTTTTGAGAAAATCCCAAAAATGCTTTTGGAATTCATTTAACACCAGGCTATGAGGAAATACTATATATTCATGACTATATATTTATGATGTAAGGGGAATCTGCTGTTTCAAACATAAATTAAAAGCTACCCCCGGCCAGCAAGAATACTGCAAGAAATAGTTCTGAGAGGCTCTCAGAGATATTATATCAATCAAGGATATATCTGATATTACTATTTTCAGTATTTAGTTAAACTAACACATTAAACTTTTATGGGGACTTGCACATTGGTGGTAAAGAGAGTGTGGGTGCTAAAGAGAACATGGGAAAGGGGGCAGGATCTTCAATATTGTGAAATGTCACTTTAGCTCACTAGGAGGCAGAGGTGGCCAAGGCTTTTCTGAAGGATGAAAACGTGCGTCCCAATGGCAGGACCTGCTTCTAATACAGGGACTCAGTTCAGACCAATGCTGAGAAGTGTGAAAATGCACCAATGATACCCTTCCCTTTCTGAAGCTGGATAAAACTTTCGAGGGAAGATATAAAATAGATTCTGTTCCATTAGAGAATACCTGACCAAAACTTTGCAGGTGTGCAGTACTTGGAGTGACAGTGACTACAGGATGGGACTGGTGATCTGCAAAGATGAGCACAGCAGTATGAGGGCCAGCGGGGCCAGAGTACAGGCAGAGGAGGTCTCTCAGGAAAGTAAACCGAGTGACAAAGAGAAGGAAGGGAGATGGCAGTTATTGAAAGAGACCATACAAAATGTCCAAGTACCTTTAGAGAGAGTGTAGTGACAGGCCAGTGTAACCACACTGCAAATCTCCAATCGACTAAACATGAAAAAGAGATCATGGGAAAAGCATGGGAAAATTAATATGTATGCTACTAAGGATGAGTCTAAGCCTCCCTGCACCACCACCTCTCTGGAAATAAAAGCAGAAAAGTTAAAACAGAATATAAATTTTAATTAGCAAAGCACATGATAACTCATAATAACAGGTTTCAATAATGTGTTATAAGGTAAGACAAAAAGAAATGCCAGTTCAAGGCAAACATTTTTATACAAGAAAAGGGTTCAAATAACAGTTTGTACATGTAAGTACAGAAGATTATTAATGCCTTCCTTGTTTCAGTGTCCAGAAGGAGGGATGCTTGGTCAGATGAAGGTCTTTCTGCCCAGGGAATGACACACAGGAATGAGCTCTCCCTTGCTGATGCTCTGAACTGGGCAGACACGAGCTGCCTCTGAACTGGAAGCTGTGGCCCAGCCTGCACAGTGCTCGGGTGCATTTAATGGGACCTGCTGAGAAGCACAGCTCCTCAGCTCAAGCGCTGCAAAGTGGCCGGGGCTGGCCTCCAGCCAGCTGGCTCCCAGTGGGAACAAAGTTCAAGTCTGCCTGCAATCAACTCTGCCAACATGCTCAAAATTAATTTTGACATGAAGATAAGACTACAGGGCAAAGTACAGGGTGGTAAAAAAAAAAAAAAAAAAAAAAAAAACAAAGAAAAGAAAAAAAGAAACCCGAAGAAACAGGAAAATAAATATTTATATGAGGTCAGACAGTTCAGGTTAGAGACTTGATGAAATTCAGCCCAGAACGCTTAAGGAATTACTGTATCTTCATGTGGGTAAACTGTGTTCATTTGGGGAAAACAAAGAAGCTTCACCAAACTAAAGAATGGCTTCTGGTTCCCCAGCACTGCAAGTTTTATGCATGTGTAAATATTATGATGAAATTTTTACTCTGGTACTTCTCTTTCTCCTCTGTCTTTAACTCTCTATACTATCTAGTATCTAATTGGCAAGGGTTGTCAAAAGTATTGGATTATGATGTCTAAAGAGGTGTAAGTTACCTGAAAAGCAAATAATACATGGAAAAAATATTCATTCAAGTAAGCTTTGAAACATGCAGTAATTAAAAAAAACCCAACACATAGGGCAGCAGGGCCACAGAGGACTATCACAAGGGAAGATCTACCTTGTTCAGAAAAGGGGAAAGACTGGAATTTTCTGTATTCTAATTTTTCTGGATCTAGTGTCTAGTCTGAACAATTGTAATATGCTATCCATTTTGAATCTTTAAAAGTTAAATCTTACTAAATTTGTGGGGTTTTAGAAACACATATTAGTTCATTAACAGCGTAAAGCTCCTACTAGATGAGAAATAAACAGTAGATTTGGCCAAGGCAAAGTCCTACATTTCTTTCTTGCCAGCAAGTAAAGAATTACAGTAGCACCATAAGACATGTGCTCAAAAGCTGATAAAGTTGTATTCAAAGAGTAGACAACTATTGAACTGCTGTTCAATTTCAAAGCAGGGAATGGCATTGGTGGGTGCAGAGACAAGGAAAATTCTCCTAAAACCAGGCACAAAAACTAGTGGTAAGGACAGAAAGAAAGTCCAAAAAGTCAAAAAGAATCTTTAAAAAAAACCTAGACACTGAAAATGAAACATGATAAGTTTCTGATTACAGGATTTTTGCAATGCTGTGATTGTATGGAAAAATTCCACCAACAATAAACTTGTGTGTACTTAAAATGACTGATGTTTTCCCAAAGGTGCATTTCACATTTTCTTGCTTAATTGCTTGGTATTAACAGTCATAAAGTTCTGATCTTAATCTACCTCGCCATGTGTTATGCACACTGGATAAACTGGAACACCCCTTGATAAATTGTAGCCATAAAAGTAAATCTCAGGCAACATCACTCCTGGCTGAGAAAAGACCCAGGGAGAAACCTCATCACAAGGCTTCCACAATAATACAATAATTTAATTACTAGAAAGATGCATTAGCATTTTGGGAAAATGTGTATCAAGTCCCTCTATTCAGGCTGGCCATTGAATGCACCTTGCCTGCCTCCAATCTTCAGAGGCATGCTCTGAATGCAGCCCCACCACCCCCAGCTGCAGTCCTCCTCAGCCCAAGCTCCTCACGGGCTCCTACCTGCTTAGAGATTTACTGTCCCAACCTCTGCAGTCAGAAAAGTTAACATCGAGCTTGCACAAGGTCCCAGACAGAAGCCCTTGGAATCTTTGACTCCAAAAACCTGATTTTCCTACAAATGGAGTCTGAAGTTTACTTTGTCCCTTAGATGTTACAGACCTCAAATAGTTTAACCACATAACACGTGACTGTAATGTATGCACTGAGTTTACATCTTTCCACTTCTGTTACAAAAGTCCCCACACAATTTCACAGTCCAGATTTTTAACAACCCCTTAGAGGGATTTGCTAGAAAGATTATCCATGAAGACTGAAGGAAGATGATTT